AAAGTTTGAAAATATAAAACTGTGTTAACAGCATATTGTTTTCCACAAAAATTAGTGTGAGATCACACAACAATTTGCAGACCCTATGATGACCCTAATTATCTGGCTGATGACGTGTTTTGAGCATTTGGGAAGTGTTGAGGTTCTTTGTGTCGATGTGCAGGAACATTCTGAGCTCAGCTGCAAACTATGTTTATTTTCTTCTGGGTCTGCAAGAGTGAAAGTAATTTGCAGACCCCATGATGACCCTAATTATCTGGCTGATGACGTGTTTTGAGCATTTGGGAAGTGTTGAGGTTCTTTGTGTCTATGTGCAGGAACATTCTGAGCTCAGCTGCAAACTATGTTTATTTTCTGCTGGGTCTGCAAGAGTGAAAGTTTGCTCACTCTTCCTGCCATGACTAACTGCGTAATACCTCATGTTGTTATTTAGCTGTTAGTCACTCTAATGGCTGAGGCAGTGCACAGGAATGTCTTTCACGTAAGGTCACTTCCACAGCTCAAACTTTCTCTCTGACTTTCCTTCTCTGCCCACTCCAACTTTCTAAATCTTCAGAGTCACTGCCAACCATTTAGCAGCGGCCATTTGCCTCTCTGTCTCTCTGTCTGTCTCTCTCTCGCTCTCTCTTCTGCCCTGAACGGAGCGAGTTGGCACATGGGCAAGCTGGCACTCTTCAGTACGGTTACTTGTACTTTGTTCTTGCTTGAGAAAAAGAGGGAGGGATAGAGTGAATGTGAGAGATAGAGAGAGGGAGAGAAAGCAGAAAGAGCGATCTAAAATGGCTGCCAACAGCAAACCTCCTCTCTGCTCATTAAATGTCTGCCAAAAAGCAAAACAAAAAAACGTAAATGGCTGATTCCTGGCTTGAAATGTAGCTTGCATGAAAAGAAATAGAAACAACTTTCATTGGAAGCAACCTCGCTTTTATTGCAGTGATAGTTTTAGTATGGAAAACACATACAAGGACAAAAAGTTCTGAAGCGAGGGGCCATTAAATCATCAACATGCTAAAGATATTACACGAAGCAGAAGCTAGACGCAAAAAAATGATGGTTCTGTTGAAGAAGGAAGTCATCCTCTTGATAGGTCAGAGAACATTTCTCGGGTTACTAATTGACTAGGCTTACGTGTCCAGATCGCACGACAGGTTGTAGTCCGACTAAGGAAAGTTACCAAAGCGTTTCAGAGTTGGAGCGCTTTACAAAATGGCGCGCTTGAGAGAAAATGGACGTTGTACGAGCACATTTTATTGTGTCATATTTTCTACTGCCATTCTTCTTTTATTTCCGTTGTGAATGTTACCTGCGTTTTCCCTTAGATCTGTGTGAAAAATTGTTTTACGATTGGATTAGGTTTTGTTTTTTCATTACTGTCACTTTTTGAGAAATCGCCTTACAAAATGGCAAACACTACTCCATGCACCGCAAAGAAAATGGCCGTCGTTCAAGCACATAGGATTGCATTATATTTTCCATCTGCCTTTCTACTTTTTCTTCTTGGACTTATGTCGGAAACTAAATGTGGAGCTCTCGGTTGAAGCGATTCCCCTCTTATTTACATTTTATGTTTTGGTGTCTTCAGCTTCACGGGTCCTTTTGGACACTGAGATGTGTCAGAGGTGCTCTGTGCCAATATCTCCCTCAAAACTGACACTTTTATTTTTCCTTCCCTCCGATTCTCTTGGAGGTTGGTCTGAGGGCTACCTGCCTAGAAACTGCCGCAGCTTTTGGCAGGAGCATACAGGACTCTGAAGACGGTCATGGAGGAGAAAAGCAGAGGGAGAGAGAACTGGAGCGTGTCCCTCTGTGTAGCTGGCAGCACTAATCATCCTGGCCTGCGAAGAATCGCAACGATGACAGACATGTTTGCTTATGCTTTGTGTTGGGTTATTTTTTATTTTTTATTTGCCGCACTTTTAAGCATTGCTCGTCTTCTCTGGAATAGACTTCAGACCTCTCAGCATCCATCTGTCTCCTACTGTTTAAGGCCTCTCCAATTTTTCATAATCAAAACATTGAGTATTATGGCCCGGGTCCAACCGTTTCTTTTGGAATGTCATTGAACTTTTGAAGATTTATAGGGTTTATAATAATTTTTTTCCCCCCAGACCATGTGTATTTTACTTACAACAACATAATTAGGCTGCACTTTGAGCATATATTTTAAGAAAACATTTCATATTTTGTGTGCAGGGGAAAATTATGCTGGCATCATTATCCAAGTGGGCGGATTGAAGACTAGTTGTGATGTTAAAGTCAACATAAAATCCAAATTGACCATATTTTTTTTCTAATGCACATTCCTGGTCTTGCTGTGATTTATTCAGCGGTAGCTTTTATTCCAAAGGTAAAAAAGACTTTCTGGTTACATCACTTAGGCCATTCAGGCTGTTGGGTGATGTTAACCAGTTTAGCAAAACCGCTTTCACTTTACTTCACAACTCCACTTTTTATGATCCAAACCTACTCGTGTTGGGCGATATGCCCCATAGTCATATCATCCTATCATCAGCCTATGAGAACGCCAGTGCAGGATATTATCATGCTAATTTATTTAATTATTTACTTATTTAGTTTTAAAGCCGGAGAGTGAACCAACTCCAGGGTAAGGCTAAAAGCAGCCTAATGTTAGTGTAATCTATTAACTACAAATTATATCTTTTTAGTCAAGTAGCATGTGGATGTCATGACATTCCTCAGTTCAAACAGCAACTACAGAAAACGAGCAAAGAACATTTACATTATAAAACAACATCCTCACTCCCTTTATAGTCAGTGAAGCTGTCTACACTGTATGATGAATAAATCTCTTATACTTACTTTGCACGCACATCTGCACTTTGTTGTTTTTGATGAGAGAATTCGCAAGAGAGCAGAATTCAGTCAGCAAGCGTGCAACAAAAAACAACAAAACTTAAAACTCAACAACAAATCTCTGCTGTTTCAGCAATGACTCATCTGAATGCCTCTGATTAGCCATTGCATTCATAAACTCAACGGAATCGTGTGTAAAAAAAAAAAAATTGTAAAAAGAAATATGGTGGAACAAATAAGCTCTGATATTAATTAGATAATACTACTAGCCTGATAATAATAATAATCGTCTTGATATTGTCAAAGGCATCAGCCACAGGCGATATCTCTGACTATTGTCGATACACGATACTATCGTCTATCGGCACAACCCTAAAACCTACCTTACATTTTGTTTAGCTGAATATCCTGTTATAATTGGAAAATGTCCAATAATATATTATCCAATATATGGAAGAAAAACAGGTCGCAAACTCAAATTCTTTATTGAATTAGTTATAAAAAATAGATATTGCCGCTGCTTGTGTGTTTTCATGTGTCTTGAGCAGTAGTTTGCGGTTGGCCTCTGAGTCCTGCAGGCCACAAAGAGTGTGAGAGTCGTAATGAAGCATTGCATTCAGACGTGTGCAGCCGGTCGGACTCTCCTCGGCTTTGAACTGGCAGTGGCGTGCGGCCCATCTGATAGGGAGCTCTCTTATTTATTTATCCAGCTTGAGCTTTTTTACTGGCTTTTCTTTGAACGCCTGCCAGAGTCCTTGTGGTAACGCCTCTGTTCTTTCATTCCCTATTCAGAAAATCCTCTGCCGCTTCTTGACTCGAATTCGTTTTATGTGTCTATCTGCGTTTTCCCTCACATCCGTGTGGCAAAGAGCTGGAACGCACACAAATGGGAAGGTTTTATGGTTGGATTAGGTTGTTTTGTCATTATTGTGTTGCTTCAATGAGTTTACACTTTGGCAATACAATCCCTGTGCTCTGCCAGTGAAGAGGGCTCAACGAGATTATGCTCGGCCTTGCCAAACAAGTTGAAAAGAAAGAGAATATTTGAATGGTTTTGCAGCACTTTGATACGGTGTGTTTCTCATTTACGAGGCTTATGAGCCATTTGGCTGAGCCGCAGCTCATCAGGGTATCAGAGCGCATGGCTGTATCAGTAACCTATGAGTGATTTATATAAAACATACAGAGTGTTCGCTTTCTCTGTTGTTTATACAGAAACATGTTCTTATGTTGGATTACCAAAGCTATCACTGACATGATCAACCACACGCCAACATGTCAGAGGTTTCTGTTCATTGAACATACGCTTATAGACTCTTGGACTTAAGTTCTAACGCTGCGGCAATTTGCTTATGATTGCCATTTATAAAACTGCTGCATGTATAAAATCAGAGTAATCATTCAAAAGCTTATTATTTGTATGTTTTATATTCATATTTTGCTGGCGTAGTTGAATAGTTGTTCAGTAATTCAGATTTTCACTTGCCATAAGATTTTCTGTAGCCTGGAAAAATACCCCTAAATTTTAGCATATATTTTTATATATTTTATATATATTTTTATGTGGCAGAAAAATATTTATATTTTGTATAATGTTTATATTTATATTGTTATTTTATGCTTTTTTATCATTTTTTTCTATAGTCTGTTTTGTTTATGTGGAAAAAATGTTTTTTTTATAATGTTTAGGTTTATATGTTTTTTTATATATTTATATTTTTCTTTATTTAAAAAAATACTTGAGCAGGAACATAAACATGTATTTATTTCCAAGACATTAGTACTCAAATAATGCAGTGTTGTTGTATTTTTTTTTATTATTATTATTTTCAGATTTACAGTTTATTTCCCATTCAAAAATAACATATCAACTTTTACCTCGAGGTCAACAGGCTTTGCATCCTATCATGTTACTTTCAGATAAAAATTATTTCACTTCACCTGAATATGTGCAATATTATATAAAAATTATATATAATTATACAATTGCATAAAAGCATAAAAACATAAGATCAATGCATGTGACATTTAAGGTTTGATCCACCATAGTGTGAAAATTGTTGTACAAAATCAGAATATTGACCTCAATTCTCCAGGCCCCTTTCCAGGTCTTTATATATCTGTTAAGAGAATCTGCTGAGTTGAGGACTAATGTCTCTCTCTCTGTCTCTCTTTGTCTTTCTCAGAAGCTGAACAGAGCAGTAGTCCTCGCACAGGCATTGGTTCAGATCAGGAGGACAGTCGAGCAGCCACCATGGGTAAGAGAGCACATGTACACACACATTCACACAACCACATGTACAGGAATACTTGCATATACTGTGTGCTGCAGCGTACAGTGCGGTGCAGTCCTGTAAGCGTCCTATCCTGCACTATACAAACATCCTGTTTACACAAGTCAACCTACATGCATGGCTTCAAACCCATACCCACACACTGAATCTCTCTCTCTATCTCTGCCCAGTTCGTGTCACACTCGTACCCACATTGCCGTGTTTCAACAGAGATAGTCTGAAAGGCCAGCACTTTATTATGCATCACGTGTGGTTAAAAGTCTAGCTCAGTTTTTGGGGAAACTCTAGATAGTAACGATCAGGATGGTGGTTTTGTTCACATATTCAGTCCTGCTCATAATGCTGTGGTATTATTATGAGACTGATGGGGTGGCTGAAGTACTTTACTGTGTCCATTGACAACTGTTTAAAATTGGTTTGTCAGTGTTACAGTGCATATAATATTATATACCAATTAATTAGTGGTTATTGTAATGTGATTATACATTACTGTTCAAAAGTTGTGTTCAGTAAGATAGAGAAACCCTCAAATTAAGGTAATTCCTGTTGTCCATAATTCACTCCAATCTGTGTGTACTAGCTGAACAGACTCTGCTTATGTAAAACTTTGACAGTCATTCATTTAGTAGAAGCTTTTATCCAGAGTGACTTAGAAATGAAAACTAAATTGAATTTCTTTGTGCGTGAGATGCTAGTGATATCCTTGTGTTGGAAAGTTCCATCATTTATTCCATGTTTTATTTTGTTTAACAGATGCTCCAGAGTTTCAAGAGAGCTTTGTAACTTCGGGCGTCTTCAATGTAACAGAACTGGTGCAAGTATCAAGAAGTGAGATGCTTTTGTATTTTGTATAATATACTTAAAAGGACAGTTCACCCAGAAGTAAAACCTGGGTTGAATTATCATAATTTAGTGTCATACAGCTTTAGAATTTTTTTAGAATGCCATGAGGGTGAGTAAATAAAGACAAAATTTTCATTTTTGTGTGAACTGTCCCTTTAAAAGTATCTCTGCGAGTCTGATGCGTTTTAGTGAATCATTTTCTTGTCTTCCTATCTCATCTGTCCCTTCCCACCTCCCACATAGCAGACGCAAGCGTCAATTTCACAGCCGTTTTATGTCAGCTGTGACAGCTCCTCATTAGAAGGGAAGGAATCCCACCAGTCTGTCCAACGTAATTGATTGTGTTTAGCTGAAATTATTTTCTTCTTCCCAGTTGGCTTATAAGTGAGTCAAATAAGCGAGACCGCTGTGTATCACTCCTCACACCTGTGTGCAATCACAGTGTTTTACAAGTTACAAACAAACTGATAGATTGCGAATGGAGACGAATTAAATGTCTTAATGTGCATTATGCAGTTTTATCAGCATTATCCAACATGCTCAAACCAAGTTTTTTTTGTGTTTTTTTTTACTTCTACACAATATTTGATGTAAGCGTTCACATATACTGTAGGTCAGTCATGCTGGAACAACAAGCCCATTGTTCCAGCTTTGTATTTACATACAACACATTCAGACATAACTGAACACACACAATACAGCCTGTCCATTAAGCTCGAGCAATTACTGTGCATTCCAACACACACACAGAGAGTAATGGAATGATATTAGGAAAGAGGTCAGCTCAGGTAAGAGCAGACAAGCAGTGGCACAGATTCATGAGCCTCGCGTGGGCTTAAACATGAATGTGTGAGATTACACCCACATGATGCAAGTATTTATCAAGTCGTACTGCAAAACTCCAGTTTACTGTACACTAGATAGCCATCACTTTACTGTGATAGTTTGCTGTACACTAGATAACAATCACCAATGTTAACCATGTGAGTAAAGAGACTAAGTCACGGCTCAACTCCAAATATTCCTCTATGTGAAGGTGCTAAGGGATTTATCAGAATGTACGCTACTACCGTTTTTACTGTCCCATACAATAAGTAATGAGGCATTGCCTTGGTACAGTGAAGGCATCAAGTTTTCTACCATGGTACTTTAATATATACCATGGTACTGAATGATTACTATTTTCATTTACCAGACTAGGCTATTTCAAAGAATATTACGATATTACAATGATACATGTTCTAAAAACATGGCATTATAATAATACCATATCCAAAAAAACATGGCAATGCAAAGTACTTTTTTAGTCATTGTTGCGATAAACACACTACCGAATAAAGGTTTGAGGTCAGATTTTATTTTTAAAAAATTCATACTTTTATTCAGCAAGGATGCCTTAAATTGATCAAAAGCAACAGCAAAGATATTTAGAATGCTGTTCTTTTGAATTTTCTTTTCATCAAAGAATGCTGAACAAAATGTTGTACAAAAATATCAAGCAGCTGTTTTCAACATTAAAAATTATAAGAAATGTTTCTTGAGCACCAAATCAGCTAATTAGAATTATTTCCTTTTTTTTAAGATTTATTTTTGGCATTTTTGCCTTTATTACGATAGGACAGATCAGAACTGACAGGAAGCGAAGTGAGAGCGATTGGGGAGTGGGATTGGGAAAGGCCCTCAAGTCAGGATTCGAACTCGGAATGGCTTTAGCGCAACAGCGCTGTATGTCAGCGCACTGCCCACAATGCTATCGGCGCCGACTACAATTATTTTTGAAGGATCATGTGACACCAAAGACTGAAGCAATGATTCTGAAAATTCAGCTTTGCCGTCACAGGAATAAATTATATTTTTAAATATATTAAAATAGAAAACATTTATTTTAAATTTTAATCATATTTCAGAATATTGCTGTACTGTATTTTTGATCAAACAAATGCACCCTTGGTGAGCATAAGACATTTTCAAAAACATAAAATATATTATTGACTCCAAACTTTTGAATGCTAGTGCATGTTTGTTTGATTGTTTTTACAGATACATAATATATAAATAAATACATAAAATAGTTCTACATCAAATGTTTTTTAAGCTTTAACTGTTATATGCTTATCATAACCTCTGTATGTGTGTGTGTGTGTGCAGCACCGGTGGTGATGGGCACGGGGCCAAACTTCTCTCTCGGAGAGCTGCAGGGTCATCTTGCTTATGATCTGAACCCTTCAGGGGTGGGAATGAGGAGAACCCTTCCCAGCACCTCCTCTAGTGGGTCAGTACACACATCTCCACCATACATCTGCCTGCAGCAGCCACACATCCTTTTGTCAAAGGCACTGTGTCCTTGAGCTACTTTTGACTGGTGATGAGATCTAACCTGTGTGTGTGTGTGTGTGTGTGTGTGTGTGTGTGTGCGTGTGCGTGTGCGTGTGTGTGTGCATGTGTATGTACAGTACATGGTTTCAAAAGAATAAAAAAAAGACAGAAATCAAGCCACATCTGTTTAATATGATAAATTGTCTCAAATTAAAATAAGGACTCCATGGACATCCATGTCCAGCTTTGATGAAGTCATGAACATCCTCTGATTCAGTCCAGTGGTACAATCTGATATTAATTAAGGAGTAAACCAGATTTTACCATATTGCCCACAGTTGTTGTCAAATTGTTCTGGTGATGTCCATAAGTAATGACTTTTTACCCTTTGTTTTGTCCTTTTCATAAGGAACTGTTTTTTTCTATTTATAAGATAGATATAGAACACTTTTATTCAGGTATTTATGTATTTAATGTAGTTTTTTTCTGTAACTGAAAATATATCTGTCCACAATATAAACTCAAAGGCAACTTTCACAAAGAGATTTAAATGTATTACTATATATATATATATATACATAAAAAAGATTAGAAATTATTTTACTTTTAGTTAAGTACGTTTTGGCATATTTTATTTCATAATTAATGTATCAGAGAGTTAACTGATTTAACTTTTATTTCTGCTCCAACAAAAGCTGTGGTGGCATCCAACCCAATTACCTCAAGACCAGAAGCAACAATGGCTATATTGTAGATGTTTGTACACCAGCTGTTGTTTTTGAGTTTGGTGGTCCTTTTTGTTGCCATGAATGCAACAGCCTGCAGCAGTTGCTGACTGGTTCAAACCAAAATATGTTTGGCCTATTTATCCGAACCAGGCTGAAACTGTGGAGCATGTGAGATTTCAGGTCGGTTAGACAAGGCTTTGAGAGTTTTAAATGTACCTGTCAGCATCTCGCCATGATAAATGTTGGCTGTTAACTGTTTCTATATTGGCTGAATTAGACAGAGGGAGCCCGAGGCATTTTGAGCTCAAGACACCGGTACACCTCGGTTGACAATAAAATTTGTCATGTGTGCGTCACAGCAAAAACCACCCCAGGCGATACACAAAGCTGAATAAAAACATCACAAAACTACATCCTTACATGCACCTGGGAAAGATGAGTGAGTGTGAAAGAACACGGCCCCTCACTCAGGTCTGCTGAGGGCAGTTTATTTGATTTATCTGCTTTTGTGGTTAGCCAAAGCCTCAGTCCTGATTAATGTGCTTATTTTCCATTAAACGCACTGCAAAGCTAAAATAAAAGGTGAATGTTGGCAAACTGCTCGTCGTAGCTGTGTGTCTGGGAAAAGCAGGTCCAAAGGAACATCCATAAGGCACGTCCAGACAGTTTGGGAGAGCATTTTTTTTTGTCTGTGTTTGAATAAAAGCAATGCTTTTCTCCTTCATTCATATTTTTTTTTCTTCTCTTTCTCCTTTTTTACTCACACAGAAGTAAGAGACACAAGTCAGGATCCATGGAGGACGATATAGACACCAGCCCAGGGGGCGAGTACTACACCTCTCCCAACTCCCCTGCCAGCAGTTCACGCAACTGGCAAGAGGAGATGGAAGGAGGTGAGCCTTGTGTTTGATCTTACAAGACAACATTTTAACAGAAATACAGAGTTGCAAATTTTATCAAAGGTTTTCTGTATTCCATGAATTTATTGGGCAATAACTTTAGAACTGGGCCATGAACTTATTATAGGGACGATCCCTCTGTAGCAACCTGGGATAAGGCACAATGGTGGCTTATACTGTATTGATTGTATCAGTTCCCTCGATCCTTGACCTCTACACCACAACACCCATAATAAAGTTTATTTTGTGCATGAGGGCTTGAATAGCTACTCATTTTTTCACTACTGTAGTAATCTAGTCAAACTACACTGTAAAAAGTGAGGTAACCCTTAAAATTACTTTGTAATTACTGTGTAACTTAATGAAGTAAGGTTGGTTTGAAGATATTTAATAATATTACATTTTTATGATGATGTTACATTTTTTACAATTTTATTTTTAACATACTGTAATATCTATTAAAACCTGTAAATTTAGATTACCACAAAGTAAATTTTTTAAATTTTACATTTAAAAAATGTACTTTTTAATTTTGTCATGCGTTTTAATTTGTATTAGTTTTTGTTGTTTTAAGTATCTTAATTTAGCTTACATTTTTCTTTTCAGTTTTAGGAATTTTAGAACTTTAATTTATTTTTTATATTTATAAAATAAGTTTAAATATGTTTTTAAAGTTTGTTTTTCATCTAATATTTATATTATTTTATTTCCTCTTTAACTTTTAATAGTTTTATAGATAATAGATCAAAGCTTTTTAATCGTTTTTCTTGTTTTAATAGTTTTAGTTTTAGTTTTTGTTGACAATATCAACACTGGTCCATGGTGTGGTTTATTTCAATTATAAAATATTCTAAAATATTTGGATTTTTTACCATACAAACATAATGATGCAGAAATGCGTGTCATTTTAGAAGAATCTTCTTCTTCCTGCTGTCACTATGTAGTGTACAGGTGGAACTGAATTGACATGATCTAGTTGACACAGATACAAAGCAAAGAATAGAGGTAGAACTAATCGATTTGTCAACTAGTGGATGCCTATTGTGCATGGAGATTTTCATCTCCATAAGCATAGTTGTGGGCCTTATTTTTGAAGCACATTCAGATGAATGACAAACATATCAGGTTTTCAACTGCAGTAGAGGAAATCTAAAATCACAAGCTTAGACTGGACTCGGATTTGAATTTCCTTAACGTAGTGCCAAATCCTAATTAATTCATGAACTCTCGTTTTTGTGAAAGTCTGCAGAAAGCAGCACTGCACTCTGTACTGTACCGTACCTTGGAGCTTGCTGTATCCTCATACTGAGAGAGACCTACTGTGTGGTTGTAGTGAAGCGTTTGACCTTTGACCCTTCAGTTGTCTGCTCCTCTGTAAATAGGATTTTTACCATTTTAATAATTCATCCATTATACTTTTGATTCCTTGGGATCTTCATGAACTTTCAACTAGAATAACTGGGTTGGCAGGTTTCCTGCTATGCTCATAATGCAAATTTGTGGTTCTGTTTTGGAGGCGTTGCGATTTATGTAGTTATATGGCAGAAATACACTGGGAATATAGCTCAAGTGTTACAGTGTATATCATAATCACTTTTGATGCTAAAGCATAACTAATGAATGAAATAGGTATAAAGGATCACTGCCTTTGATGCTATGAATAGCTGAGAGGTTTTGACAGCCATCAACCCACCGTAAAAACCCTTCTAAATCTTATAAAACCATTTTAGACAGCTATTTTTATGCTGAAGCAGCTCTACTAATTTCACATAAAGTAGGGCAAGCAGTAGATATAGAAACCATACTGTAATCCACCTCTCATGTATAAGGGGAAGTTTCAATGAGCAATCTATGTAGGGAAAGTTCCGTTTGTGGGAGCATAAAAGGATAAGTGTGGTTCGTAGATGTAAATGCAATGTTGATGTTAGTTTGTTGTTTGTACTGAAATATGTTGTATTATCTTGCATAGTGTGCTTTTAATAATATGTAAAATTAGAGTTCATTGGAAGGCTCTGGACCAAAATCTAGTAAGCTTTCTATAAAGAGAGCATTTTAAGGTAACATACTGTAGGCTCTCGACAAGAAGGCTATTCATCTGAATAATTTTGCCTCGTGTTTCTGGCCAGATTTTAAGGCTTGTATGTTTTGTGGAGAATGTAATCCCATAATGCATTGTGACAAGCTGAGGAAAAACTTTTTTTTTTTTTTAAACAATACAAAATCTTACTGACCCCAAATTTTTGAATGGTTGTGTAATTAGTTTAATATAATCATGTGTGATACATGATTATAATTACATAACTGTTCAAAAGTTTGGGTCAGTAAGATTTTGTAATGTTTAAAAAAGAAGTCTCTCATGCTTTGTAAGTCTGCAATTATATGATCAAAAATACTGTAAAAGCAGTAATATTGTGAAATATTAATACCATTTAAAATGACTGTTTTCTATTTAGACATCTTTTAAAATGTAATTTATTCCTGTGAAGGTAAAGCTGAATTTTCAACAGCCATTACTTCAGTCTTCAGTCTGTTAGTCAAATGTTAGTGTATATATAAAATACATAACATACATGTGATTCTATGTTGAAAGATACATATTAAAACAGTTAAATGTATTAGCTTAGCATCATGCTAATAAAAATAAGGTTCTATGACAGTTAGGATTCTGTGTTGTGTGGGAAGTAGGTGGCATGGCAGCTCGTTTTGAAACAGGGCTAAAATGCCCTAAATTAAAAAAACAAATACATAAATGTAAAATTCATTTGCATGCATCAAGTCATACAGTTTAATATTTATTCATGAGAAAAATATTTCAAGTTTGTAGCACCAGATCAGCCTAAAACCTTCAGAGTTTATTGTGAGTTGCCGTTTCAGACCTTGCATAACATCCGACTTTTGTCACACCCTTGTGAATATCCATTAACCCTCTAGGCAAAACTGTTGCTTAAGATCTCAGGAGACCTGCTTCACCCCTCCCCACTGATCTATAACCAGCAGGAATCTGAAATCCATCACTGTGTATGAAGTAACAGCACTGGTCTCATATCAGCCTCCAGAGCAAATCCCATCACTGTACGCACAGCCGGATCCCCTGCGGTGGCCCACCTAACTTCCTGTCTAGACGTTCCTAATGAGTTTCTCTTTAACAATCCCCCAGCTGATTGCTCTGGTCTCGTGCACATATGGATTAAGATCTGAAGGTTAAAATGTGGAGTTTGGGAGCAGAACTGTTTCCTTCAATGATTTGTGTCCCTCAAGGTATATTTCACTCAAAAATGGAAATCCTGTCATTTACTGTCGCATGTCATTCCAAACCTGTTTCACTTATTAGGAAAAACTTCCATATCGGGAAGGTCCTAAATAGATCACTCTGACATCCACATGGAGACTGTATCTTTGCTTTTAAATAATCGGTGCAGATCATTAGCTACAGACATATTTTCCCATAATCCCACTGGTCTGGCCGCAAGGAGAGAGTGCACTTTCTGCATTGCACTGCAGCACTGTCAAAACTCTCGTTACACTGCGCCACCTTGTGGTCAGTTGTGGTAACTAGAAGCATCTGCTGTGACCTGACAAGCATCGAGAGTGACCGCACGCAGTGGTCATTAATTAGCTGACTAAGCTTTCCTTTAGACTCAGAAAAGTTTGTCCTTGTATAGAACAATGGAGCTGAATTTGCAGTATTCAGTATAAGCCAAGCGCGTGCTCTCCTCCCCCTCCTCCATCTCTCTCTACTTTTCTCTCTTTTTCACACAGGAATCTCCCCTACAGTTAAGAAGACAGAGATGGATAGTCCATCTCCTCAGGAGAGCTCTCCACGTCTCGGCTTCACACAGCACCACAGACCTGTCATTGCAGTGCACAGCGGTGAGGGGACAACACACACGTGCATATGTCTGTCTGTTCTGTCATCACAGGCCTGCACACACAAACACCGCAAATGGCTAGCTGGGAGGAACAAATATACTGTACAGTTTCCACTGTTGTGTTTGGTTATCCAAACTGTCTCTGCTAATATCATCATATCATGTAAAGCCTACTTATATAAGGCCCTGTTAAAAAAAGATATGATTTGCAACATATTTTGATACCTTACATGTGAAGTGTACAAGAATTTAATTTAGCTATCGGGAATTGTTTAGATTGTGAAAAGTCAGGGTAACATACCAGAATAGAGCCACAAAAGAATGTTTTTTCAGGGCTTTAGTTATTACATTTTGATGAAAGATTATAAAGCCAAACCATTATTTCCTTGGGAATAACATGAATTCTATGAACATGAACATTATTCTTAATAAGACCAGGAACGTGCATTAAAGTAAGTAGCAACAGATTTTTTTCTTCCGTATTGTGACACATATTCAGATTATTGAAAAACAAAAATTCCAGGGTAGGGACTTGGTTCTATCCATCGGCTGTTGATTGGATGGAGGCAGATCTGAATGCAGGTGATTGTAAGAAAGGGGCTGGTGAAACATTAAATATGCACAGAGAAATCATTCACAATTTCAATGGGCTGAGACGAGAGTACTGTCAGGTCGTTTCTTATAGTTGTACTGTGATCTGTCGTCTCCAGAGCCTCACAGCTGGCTGAGTTATGCTCTAACAATTAGCCTGGCTGTTCAGATGAATTGGTGGAGCGTGTCAGCCATATGCTGCCTGCACTGAAACATCAAGCTGATATTACCTCTGCTGGGCTTTGCCAAATGTGTTACAGCATACAAAGTGTTCTGTAGAGAATTATGATGGTTAAATCTGACAGGGACGTGACAACTCAACAAAGAGCTCTTTAATTAAGACATTGGTTATACAGTATGCAGCTTTATCAAATGTGTCACTAAAATGTGTTATTGTGTTTGTTTATATACAGGTACACTAGCGTTCAGTTGTTTGGGGTTGGTAAGATTTTTTTGATGTTTTTGAAAAAAAATTACATAATATTTCATAACATTTAAAAGTAATGTCTTCTATTGTAATACATTTTAAAATATAATTTAGTTCTGTTATGGCAAAGCAAAATCTTTAGCAGCCATTATTTCAGGCTTCAGTGTCACATGATCCTTCAGAAATCATTCTAATATGCTGATTTGGTTCAATGTTGAAAATATTAACGTAACAATATTAATATTATTATTTCAGTTTTTTGATAAATTAAAAAACTCAAAAGAAGCATTTATTTGAAATAGAAATATTTTGTAACATTATAAATGTTTCAAAACTGTCACTTTACTGTTTACTGTCACTTTTGTTCAATTGAATGCATCCTTGCTGAATAAAAGGATTAATTTATTTAAAAAACAAATCTTACTGACCACAAACATTTGAACAGTAGTGTACTTCGATGGGGTTATTTCAAATACAAAACCAAATATAGTTTGTTTTAAAGCTAAAATCCACAGGTATTGAAGCTGAAAGGAATAAGTCACAGAAAAATTACAATTCTGTCATCGTTTACTCACCCTCATGTCATTTCAAAACTATATGACTTTCTTTCTTCTGTTGAACATAAAAGGAGATATTTTAATGAAAGTTCATGCTGCTCTTTTTCATGCAATGGCCAGGGGCTGGAAAGTACTAAAAATAAGTAAAAGCACCATATTGGCTGTCAGTGAATAATTCCAGTGAATAAGGCAGAATATAATTGTGTCTTTCAGGTATCTCTCGGGGTCCGCATCCCTCCTCGTCTCTGCACTTCCCTGGCGCTCCCATTCTCCCCCAGACTGCCTCCACCTACTTCCCACACACAGCCATCCGGTACCCCCCGCACCTCAGCTCTCAAGACCCGCTCAAGGATCTTGTCTCTCTGGCCTGTGACCCGTCCAATCAACAGCCCAGCCCGGTAAGATCATCCCATTGAGCATGCTGACACATCAGCTTTCATTCACACTCCAACAATCACAGATAAGGGTACGTGAAAACGTATCCAAAATTACCCAAACATCAGCCTCAATTGTTCAGCTAAACCAACCAGCAGCCATAGTTCTGGTAGGACCCCATGTGGTCCCATACGTGAGCCAAGCACAGCTCTGAGCCTGCCGTGTTTATTCATATTCAACACTGGATTTGTTAGTATGCCAAATTAAAAATGAGTTGAATTTGTATATAAAGGGGTCTTTATATTTTCCATGACAGTTAAAAACTGCATGGGGTAAAACAGCAAATCCGAATCTGCTGACTTTGTTTGAAGAAAAGCGCTGTTTGCTTATTTCACATGCAACGGGAGCATTTCTTAAAGGGACAGTTCACCCAATAATAAAAATTCTGTCATCATTTACTCAGCTTATATGTATACACACACACACACACACACACACACACACACATATATATATATATATATATTTGAATGGAAGTCAATGATAACCAAAACTGTTTGGTTTTTCATTTTTCATATTTTTCATGAAATATCCTCTTTTGTGTTAATCAGACAAAAAAAAGTCATACAGGTTTGGAACGACATGAGGGGGGAGTAAATAATTACAGAATTTTCTTTTTGACTAATATCAACTATCCCTTTAAAATGAGAGCAAAAAAGGATCATTTAATTCTTCTGGCCAGAAAGAAAGTAAATGTAAAACAGCAAAATTATGACTGTTTTTGGCAGAAAAAAACATCAGTGGACCTCAGGGAGACAATTAAATAATAATAAATCCATGTTATGACCCCTTTAAATTATACCAGAAGGGATGAATTAGGAAGTCGACTGCATGCTTCCTGTATCTGCAGTATATATTTGTGTGTGTGCAAGTAAGAGAGAGAGACAGATAAATATGCCATAATGTGCCCTTAGATCACTCTGATCTAATCTTAGCCAAGAAGAGCTGACCACGGTCTTGTAGAAGCAAGCAGTCTCGACACGGTCAGATTTCACCCTTTCTGTTAAAGCGACCTGCAGTCTAAACACAAGCGTCCATCAGCTCTATTTCCTTCACAAATACTCACAGACAAGAGTTTCTCAGTGCCTGTGTTGCCCTGAGCAGATGAAAATCTATTTGGCTGGGTATATAACTTATCAGGGGCGTGGCAACCATGTGGGTGGAGTTTAGGAAGCACCCATTAAAAATCAGAGCTTAAACATATTTGAATTTTTAGTGATATTTAATTGAGCATGCTTGTTTCTTAAAGTTAGTCTTAAAAACATGTTTATCTTGAATGCAGTGTCACATAAAATTAACTGATAAAATGTATACCTTGCCAAATGCAAAAATATAAATATGCCTAAATTCTCTTGTGGCATTTAAAATGATTTATTTTAGTTTTTAGTGTTTCATTTTTAATTTATTTAGACAAACAGTATAGAATTTTAATAGGGGCTGTTTATTGATTTTTGTCCAGTTATTGGTACATGAAAATAAATATTGACTTATCAGGTAGAATCTTTATAATTTTTTTTAAATACCAGAGAATCCCTTAATACAATCAATAAGTTATGGCAACATATGTTTTTCCATTACTTCAACTCATCAAATCAATTTAACCAATTTCTCTCCCTTTTTACACAATTTACTTAAGATAACATTTTTTAAGTCAGTTTAATGTAATGTAATTTAAGTTGAAATAACTTAATTCAAAAATTTAATCAAAATTGATTATACTTAAAAAAAAATTAAGGCAGCAAATGAAGTTTTTTAAGTTGAGGTTCAAGTTGAATTTTTTTAAGGTGTATTTTGCAGTACAGCTATAGTGTCATACATTTGAAATAGCTCAGACACTTTATTTGAGTGTTGTTTCTTCTCATAATGACTTAATGATCCATAATGACCCAGGATGTCATCTGAGTAACATCACTGACTAAACGGGGTGAGCAGCTCTGGGATCATTCTGCTTGTTCTGACTGTGGATCACGAATTAGCACTGGCTGGATGGCTTCATTCTGACAGTGACATAAAGTACTAACACGAAGTGTGAATGACTTATCCTCGGGGTGCCTGTAGGAAAGTCGTGTGCCATTTCCACGTCAGGCAGAGAGAGTGAGAGAACAGGAAATACAGCCAAGAAGGAGGCGATCTCTGTGTCTAGGGGTGTTGCTGATGTTGGCACAAAAATGGGGGAAGAGAGAGAGAGACACACATTTATGAATCTTGCCCTGTGGCAGCCGTGCCCCGCCGATTCTGCAGACTCGTTGAAATTCCCCCTACTGCAGTCTGACCGTAGCCAAGCAGTCACAAAGAACAGCCGCACCGACCCACAATGCCGCTGACTCACTCACCAGCTATTGTTGTGTAGGGCAGTGAATGTGCAGTTTTATCCCGCGAGAATGCGTCTGAGAGCCAAACCCTCTGAGAGAGAAAGAGAGCATGATGGAGGGTTTTATGGATTTGCGGCCAGGGTAGAGCAATAGAACGATGCATAATGGGCCTTTCGCTAGAACAGTGTGCACAACGTTACTCTGTTTCTCCCACATAACTGCTGATGGCAGGAGGAGGTGGAGATATGAGACTGGACTTTAAAGTTTCATCAGATACCAAGTCATTTTTTCCACTTTTTGAAAAAATTTATTGGCTAAAGAAATTAAGTACTTCAGACAAATACAGCTTGATTGAAAAAATCTACAGCAGCTCTTAAATGCTACAAGTGAATTTCGGCATCACAATGTTTACAATGAAAAATGGATATTCATTTTGAGATTTGCTAAACACTACATTTAACAGTGTTATTAAAGAATAAGTTTGCCAACTTTCTACCAACTTTAAACTGTTACAGTGTCAGTAGTGTAAATGAACAATGTATATTCTTTCTCCATGTTACCTGCACTTATCTCCGCTCATGGACAAATGGATTGAGCTCAGTGCATTATGGGTGTTGAAGTTTCCCTACCTTTTTTGCAATGCCACAGCCCTTTTATCTGTTTTTCTAGTCATTTAGCAACATTTTTTTTAAACTTCACCTTTCTATTGCATAGACAGTCAAGTTTTATTAAAAGCCCATCTTGTCAGTGGTGGATCATCCTTTAATTGAGCTTTAAGTAAGTGTTATATGATAATGAAGAAATGATCTCTGTGTTGAGATCACATAACCAGGCGTGTCTTGAAATTTAACAGTATTCAGAGCCAGCGGGGGCAGCTGAGAGGCTAATGTGGTGTAGAGGTTTTTTAATACAACAAATAAAATGTATTTTCTAATACTGTGTTCCATTCAATGTCAGTCGCGAGATATTCCCACTAGATCTTGTACAGGTTGTCCTATTAGATTTTGTCTTATGCATGGAAAATGATGCAAAATGGCAATGCTGCAGTAGCATTTGTTTTGCAGGTATGCAAATATAAACAGAGATTGTTCTGTACTATTTTTAACCCAACTGTTTCTATAAACATTAGCTTAACAGGTATTATTTGTAATTTTGAAATCATTCCTTCAAACAATAAGGTATGGTGCTAGCAACGCCAAGGTCATTGATTTGATTCCCAAGGAATGCATGAACTGATGAATACCTTGTATACGTTGAATGCAATGTAAGTCGCTTAGGATATAAGCGTCTGCCATTTATAACATAAAGGTAATAGAAATGAATGTTTACAATTAACTTATCAGTGTCAGTTTTGAAAAGCTGAAATCTTTATGTGGCATTCTATTACACTTTTCCAAGTAGGAAGTTGGAAATTCCAATTTCTAAACTGAATGGAACACTGCATTAGTTCACCAAAAATGATTAACATCTTAAAGAACTGTTAAAATCTTCCATGATGTCAATCATAGTCCTTAATATGCAGAGATCTCAAAGAATTTTAGCATCGAAGGAAAAAAAACAGAGCTAAAGAGAGAGTAAGACAAACACAGAGACAGTAGATGCATGTATTGTGATGTTAGCTGTGTAGAGGCAGTGAGGTGTCCCTCCCCACAGTGGCTGACTATTGCCCTCTCTTCCTCTGCAGCTGAATGGCAGTGGTCAGGTGAAGGTATCCAGTCACTACATCTCCTCTCAGTTAAGAAGTCTTTTTTTCTTGAGAATTTTTTGCTTTTTCTTTCACTTTCAACTGAAAATTCAGCTTTGCCATCACAGGAATAAATAAATTACATTTTAAAGTATATAACATTTTATTTACTTATTTTTTTAATTAAAAGCAACTTTGGTGAGCATAAGAGACTTCTTTCAAAAATGGTAGTGCATTTATTTATATTTTTACTTTTTTTGAATTATTTATTTCTGTTAATAATCAGAATAAACAATGTTTCGTGTTTTTTGTAGTTAATTTGCATAACTATTGGCTTTTTACAGTTGCCAGGCAACGTTGCAACTCTGCGCATTCATATATATTTTAAAACAGCTTCAACGTGAACTGTCTGTTAAATAAACGCTAAATTTCAGTGTTAGAGAAACAAAGAAAGTGTCTTTCCATCAGTAAACCATATAAACACAGATACATTTGGATGACAAGTCGATCAGCTTTAATGGACCAGTGCTTGCTGCCCTGTCCATTAATCATGCTAATTCCGTTTGTTCGCCCTCTCTGTCCCACCTCTGACATGGGCACCATACCTATAGCCAAGCAAGTAGTATACAGCAGCACACACAAAGAAATAGTTAAACCCCAGGATTTACATTTTTAGAGTGATTCAATTAGCAAGAAACCTTAATCGACAAATGAAGATGGCTGGCTCAGAGTTAGTGGTCTGGCTCATGTCACAAAGAAACAACACACAGTTGTCTTGGCT